TATATATATACATACTTAGAAAAAAACAATAATACTTGTTGATATCCGAGTTAGCCCAGAATGAACCGAGAAGACTTAGCCCATCAAGACCCGGGCTGAGGACCCAGTCCGACACGGAAGTGCCGAGCTGAACCAAGAAATAAATTACTCAGGACCTCCATGGGAACGTTTCCCGAGGCCGACACCCAGCTCAGTACATGCACAAGCTGACTTGGATGGGTGTCGAGCTGAAAGCGGATTCCCTGTTGTCTCATTAGCATATTCAAGAAAAATGCCGACCTGAGGACCCGGAGTGTCCATCTCGAAGGCAAAGGCGGGGCTCGACGAACATTAAAATATTCCCACTTGGAAGGTCATCATTGGACGATGGGACGAGCTGCCATAGCCTGACACCCTATAAGCAAGCCTAGTTAAGAAAGTCTGCCGCATTAAATGCCCCCATGCTTGCATTAAATGTCTGACAGGCAATGATTAAAGAAGCCTCAAATCGCATTAAATAGATGTCAGGGAGACGCCGAACTGCCCTGCAAGATTACTGTGCGACAAGACCGGTGAATAATACCTGAACAGTACCTCATTTAAGGATACTATAAATAGCAGCTCATTTCATTTATTTTGAGTTGTTGAATCTCAACTAACTCTGCATTCTCTCTACTTTCTCTCTCTAAAACTGTAAGAAAACCTTTGTAAAAATTGTAAGTATATCACAAGTGCCGACCTCGTACGAGAGGCCGACCTCGTGATCGCCTAATAAAATCGTAATTAAACTATATATTTCCTTTGTTTTTAGTCCTGCACTTTCGTTACTTATCTTTTTAACCGTTGACCGAAAACGCTCATCAACAGTTTGACGCTAGAGGAAGGGCCCATAAGTTATGTGGTGTCAATTATTCGATCTTGTGAAACCCCACGTTCTCATCTCTTTCCACTTACCTCGAACATCGTCCAAAATGGCTTCATCCAGTCACGACGAGTCAACCCAGCAGTCCGACACCCAATCTCGTCGGCGCAACGGCGAAGAGACCTCTCGCCGTAACCAGCAAGGGACTCAAGCCCCTGTCCCTCCAGTTCCGACTTTCGCTGCGGCCATGCAGCATCCTGACGTTCTCAAAGCCTTAGAAGGGGTCTTCGCCAAGGCCCTCGCCAGCCAGGCACCAGGGGGAAACACCGTGGCAGCCACGGAGAATCCCGAC